CTGACTTGTGCAAGGAGCCATTTACTTCTGTTCTCAGTAACCTGTTTTGCCTTTAAGTATTTGTCTCCTTGTTGTTTCATTTCTCCAGATAAAACTGCGTTTACTGTCTCTTCTCCATCATTGGTCTTTGTTCTACCCTTACTACCCTTCTTACTTTCCTCCCCTCAATAAAGCTGCAGCCCCAAACCTGTCACTGTCCAACTTTGTGCTCTTAGGTCATTTTTAATCTGTTGGAACTTTAGTGTCTTGGTCTATCAAGTAAGACAGGAATCTCTACCTCCTAGGACTGCACAAGTGCCTGTACCATAAAGGGGGTCAACACATGTTAGCTTCTGTCCTTTTTCACTGCTCTTCCTTGCTGGTTTCATATCACTACTGTCAGTGTGCTTGTCCTTATTGTCATTCTTCTGTCACTTCAAAAATCAAGTTGGCACTGTTTAAAATGGGCTGGAAAGCAAATAAGTAAATTACTTAAGTGTCTAAAACATTAGCATTTAATTTTCATTGCTTTTCTGTCATTTGTGTCAAGCACTACATTCTTTTATGTGGTTTTGTAATTGAGGGAACACATTTCTGTAATGCAAGTCAATAATTGTATTTATTATTTATCAGGATATGTTTACTATGTAAATGAGGTACATTAATAGTTAACAATGTGTGAAAGTTCCATTGTAATTCCTATTGTACTTGCATAACAAGAACTTCTAATAGCTCTAAGAAATAGAGCTAAGGAAAAACCAAGCTTTCCCCTGGAAATGGAAATGGAAGACTTGATCCCCTGAATGCTTTTTGCATTCTGTCTTGCCTGACATGACTGGTCTGGTAGGATATGGATCCACTGTGGAGACCAGATTGTTAGGAATTAGGCCCAGCACTGATGACAATTATGGTAGTAGTACCATTAAAACAGAAGTATCAAGAAAGTCCAGTTAACACTTTTTACTCACATTTTGGGTGCTCATCAAGAAAGTTAGATTTTTTTCAGGCTCAATGGCTTAAGGAAATAGTAGTTAGATGTAGTCTATGCCCTGGATAATACACACCCTGAAGAGATGGTTATGTGATAAGATGAAAGAATGAAACATATACACAGTTCTTATATATTAGTAAGAACTTTCTGGATATGAGCTATTCTTTATCATTAACTTGCTGAAGATCCTGGCCAAGTCCTTTTTAATTTTTGTGCAATATTCTTTGTTTTGTCTTCTGAGGTCCAGGGAAGAAAGTGCGACTAGTAAAACATGTCGGGGTTCCTCATAAAGGAAGTATTATAAGAATGTACTTAGAAGTTAACATTTAAAAATGGTTCTGTATCCCAAGTCAAACAGAATTTCTATTAGAGATTTGCTGATTGAGCTCTTACAACAAGAATTCAGCACTTCACTGTCATCTAATGGCATCCTATCTTTAAAAAAAAAATCCTACCTTAGATTTATTTACTTCTCAGTTTGAATCTTCTTCAAGTGCACATTCTTAATCTCAAACCTCATGTAGAGAATTATTTATTTAGATGTCTCCAAACTGGTTTCTTGGCATAGTTCTTGCATGGTGTGAATAAATTCTTCAGATAAGGTCTTCCGTGACCCACTGTGACGTGCTGACCTTCATTCTTGTCATTCTTCAACAGACCTCATTGAGAGCAGCGTAAATAGTTTTTGAAATATTTTGACTTTTAAACTGTGGCATAGAACAAGTAGGGTAGTAGTTCTTAATCTATTTAGAGGTCATATATTCTTGTGAGAGTTTGATAAAAATACATGGAGTCTTTTCCCAGTAAAATATACATATATTCACGCACAAAAAGCTCTGCATGAAATTTCAGGGAATTCATGAAACTCATGTTGCCCCTAGGACCTAAGTTAAGAACCCGTGTTTTCAGGGCAAGTGCTTCTTTAACTGTAATATGCATAAAAATCACCTTGGGATTGTATTAAAATGCAGATTATGATTCTGCTGGTTGGGGGTGAATCTGAGAATCTGCCTTTTTAACAAGCTCCCAGGTAAGGATGGTGCTTCTGGTTCCAGGACACCCTTTGAGTTGCAAGGCTATAGTGGACCATGAGGAAGCATTTTTAGTACATAAAGAAAACAAACTCATGAATATTTGGGTCTCCTGTTGATTTTTCATTAATGTGGCTTAAAATTTTTCCAGCAATGAATGCACTACTTGAAGAGAAGGTTGTATTTTGTTTTCTAAAATTTGTTGCTTATAATGGATTACCAGCATTATTTTTCTTATGAAATTTTATGATTCTGATTTAATATACTTAAGTTTAGGTATTTTTTTTTCATCCTCTGAAGTTTTTACCCTTTCCTATGCTCTTAATGGAAGTACACTTAACACGTTCTTCGAGCTAAATGACATTTGTACATTATTTGCTATGGCTTTAGGTGATACTTAACAGTAGACCATGGAATGAAATGAGAAGGAAAACTAATGAACTAGAAAAATAGCTTTGCACATAGTAAACAGATACTGTATTGTTGAACTGAAGTAAAGTTTGTGCCTCAGATGGGAGAAATTTAATAGCATAGGAAACTACAGATGATGTCACAGTAGTAAATTATCATCTCGGATGAAAAACTGACTATATGTTGAACTGACTGATGGAGCCAATCTCTTGATTGCTGGGAAGTGTTGCAGGAAGACTATTCCCTTGTAAATTTTCTCCCTATTTGTCTTTTATTTTTGTCTAAGCTAATGAAAGGGTCTTCTTAATTAAGGTAAGGGTTTTTTTTTATACTTGTCATATATTAAAATTGAACTATATAAACTGCTGATATGTCACTGTTTTTGATCAAGAACTTAATTCAGATATGTATGACTTGGGGAATTTTTTTAAAAAACTTTACTTTTTATACAGTTTTTAAAGGCTACTTTCCAGTTACAGTTATTACAAAATATTGGCTATATTCCCCATGTTGTACAATATATCCTTGAGTCTATCTTGTACCCCTCCACTCCCTCACCCCGTTACTGCCTGCCCCTCCCCACTAGTAACCACTACTTTGTTCTCTGTATCTGTGGGTCTGCTTATTTTTTTTATTGTATTGACTAGTTTATTGTGTAACATTACAAGTATAAGTGATATTATACAGCATTTATCTTTCTCTGACTTATTTCATTTAGCGTAATGTCCTTCAAGTCCATCCATGTTGCTGCAAATGGCAAAATTTCATTCTTTTTTATGGCTGAGTGGCATTCCATTATGTGTGTATATATATATATATATATATATATATATATATATAT